CTGTGATTAAACCTTTTTTAAAATTTCCTGTGGCAAAGCTGATGAACTCTCTGTTGTGTGGGTATTGCTCTCCTCTGGGCCAGTGGTTGTAAGACACTGGTCATGATGTCATTCCGTGCCATTGCCACTCCTCGCTTAAATTTCTGCCTATGCAGTTTAGTTTGATTTTAGCTCATCTGGAATTTCCCCAAAAGATATAATAATGGCTTCTTTTCTTACCTTTGGTATAATCCTTCAGATTATATTATTTTCTCCTATTCAAAACATTTTTTTAAACAGAAATAAATAGTGCACTGTAAATAAATCTGCAAATAATATAAACAAGCTAAATTACCACTGAGGTCCTTATAGCATTGTTATGGAAAAGTAATATAAAAGTAAACATTAAACATTTTAGAGGCACTTATTGAGACTGGAAAACTAGTGTCACGTGATACACTAAAGAGGTTTACAAAACTCAATTCACTTGAATATCTTTGAAAGTGACACAGATTGTCATTTATACTTTTTTAAATTGTCTTTTTCTGATTATAAAAGTAAATATATGGGTCATAGAGTATGCACATTTCTCCAAACTTTAGGTAAGTAAGTTTTGCCTCAAAAGAAAACAAAAACGCAAACACACAGTGAACTTCAGTAATAATATGCATGATGAAGTATTTAAGGAGAAGTGTACTGATGCCTGCAACTTATTTGAAATGCATCAAAATGGGCTGATAAATGAAAGGATAGACAGCTGGATATACATGTGATAAAGCAAGTATTTATATTATTGATAGACCTCAGACAGTAGGTACACAAAGGTTCACTATAAAACCCTTTCAACTTTTATGTTTGAAAATCTTCATAATAAAATTCTGAGGAAAAAAGAAATATAAAATCATGACAGAAAAATATAGAAAACAAAAGAAAGTGCAGAACAGGGAAAATAAAGCACCATACAGATACCAAGCAGATACCATTATATAATAATGTTTTGTAACTTGCTTTCACCACTTAGCAATATATTAGGAGCATTTTCCTTGCTCTCTAAATTCCAAATGGAACGGAATTCCATTATACAAAGCTGTAGCATAATTTGTTGTTTCCAATTCTTCACTGTTACACATGTGAGATGAACACCTATTATATCCATCTTTCTGTACATCTCTGACTATTTCCTTAGGATAAAGTCCCAGAAGTAAGATTTCTGGCTCAAAGGAAGTGTACATTTTGCTAACCTCTTCTCCAGAAAGGTTTACAATTTACATTTCTAATAGCAGCATATCATAGATCCTAGCTAACCGGAGGAATGATTTTAAATTTTAAATTAAATGCTTTCATAAATAAAATTTCTCTATAACCATCATTTCTGCCAAAAGGACAAAGGCTTTTTAAAAATTTTAAATAAACAATCCTAGTACCCATACCTCAGTTCCTAAATATCATACTCCAAAATCAGATATACTGACTCAGGGCTTCTTAAGGAAATGGCTCCAGGAATGGGGCAGGAACTAGGTGAGCCTGGAACATCTTTTTGTGCCAGAGAGAGAGAAAATCATCAAAAAAATGATGGGAATATATCAAAAGGACACAGGAGCCAGCTTAAAGGAGCTCTTACTTACTAAATTTGTGACAATTTATGCATGAAAATGACTAATGGATTAAAACATTTTAAATTTGAAAAAGAATCTTTAAGTCTACAATCAATAAATGAATGGATGAGTGAATAAAAAAATAAAGGAAGAAGAAATAATGAGGGAAAATGCATTTATGCTAGCATTTTTTGCTTTCTTCACAGTAAACTATCATAATAATATTTGATTCAAACAAGAATCATCAATGGATGCAAAAAAAGAAAAAAACCTTGAGTAAATGTTTGTTGAGAGAAGATAGTTACATAGCCTCAAAGTATCTGCCAACAGCTTAATTATTAATTACAAAGGGAAAATAGACGTTTTTACTATGGAGAAATTGGGTGAATCCCAGTTAACCAAGGGTTCAAAATTAACGTTGCCAACGATGGGACAAACTGACAACATGCAATTCCCCTTCAGACGCCTCCAGACCTATGACCTATTCAGCATTCCCATCAAAACTACATAAACTTAGACTAGGCAGGATGGAATGGGAAATCAGGTAAACCCAAAATGAGGGATATTCTATAAAACAACTGTCTTGTACTCTTCAAAAATGTCAGAGTCTTAGAAGACATACAGAGAAACTGTTCCAGATTAAACAGACTAAGCAGATACTAAATGCAATGTAAGATCCTAGATTGGATCCTGGGTTGAAAAAAGTTGCCATAAAAAGCTGTTACGGGAACAACTGGCTAAATTTGAATATAGTCTATATAATAAGTAATACTGTTGTATCATTGTTAAATTTCCTGAATTTGTTCATTGTACTGTGGTTGTGTTCTTTATCCCTGAAGCATTTAGGGAAAAAGATACATAGCATCTGTAATTTGTACTCGGGGTTCATCAAAAATAATATGAATACACATAAATCAATAATATACAGAGATAAAGCAAATTCGCAAACTGTAACTAAAGGGTGAGTCTAGGGGAAAGATATACTAGGTTCATGGTACTATTCTTGTAATTTTTCTCAAGGCTTAAAAGTTTCTTAAAAATAAAGTTTTAAAGACCTACTGAGATTTTAAGTAAATGTCATTTTTTTCTTAAAAGAAAAACAAACCAGAAAAGTAACATATACCCACTGAAACAGAGGAAAGTAATACATACTCCCTAAACTAAAGGTTTGCAAATACAGGGAAAGTAAATAGTCTTCCTTTCCCTTCTCACATAAGTTAAAGAGATTGGTATATATTTTCTCCCCATTTCACTAAGTTCATACAACATATATTTAGTCAGATATCAAGTTATTCTTAAAGAGTTGCATGAAGAACTGCAAACATTTTATTAAATGTTCCATTGCTTCTAAAACTCATTGGCCAAAAGCAACCGAGTGACATGGGATTGAACCTACGAATTAGAAAAAAATCCAGAGCTCATTATCTTCATCTTATCACTTAGAATATCCAGCAAGCTAATACACATTCCATAAAGTACAATAATTTACACAAGAAATGCATATTTCCTTTCGAATAACTGCCAACTTCCTCACCGTAACTTTTTACATCTTAAGTTCATGCTGATTTTGTACATGTGGGGGTGCTTTGCCATAATTTACCATGTGTCTTTATCACTCACAGTCACTGACCAAGCCCCATGCTGAAGTTAAGTTTTTGTTTTGCCGTTTTGCCTACGTTCAAGTTTGAGTTATCCTCTTGCAGTTTATCATAATCAACTTGATTTCTGAACTACACACAGAAGCAGGCTTTGACAGTTTCCAATTCCTGCTTTCATCCTTGTGCTTTCCTATGTCATTTTCCCGGCTTTCTCAAAAATAGTAGAAAAGGTATCACATACATATGATTGGGGAAAGGAGTTGCAGTGGATGGGTTGTGATTAAGGTTTTCCTATCAAAATCGATTTCATGTCTTATAAAGTCTTTTTCATATCCAACAATCATAGAAGAGCTTGTTCACTGTACTAAAGTTGCATGATCTAAAGCTTAAAAATATTGGCATACTTAGAAACTTCCTTGACTCTAAAGGGATGGAATTGTTTTATTTTCTATTCTTACTTGATTGATTAGAGGTTTCAAAGTTAAAAACTAAGAAACAAGGGTCTGGCCTCCTAGATTTCACTTGCCCATCCTGGGGCAGCTTAATACATTTCTTCCCAATCTATAAAATGGGGACAATAATGCTTGCCTAAAGAGGACCTAGTGAGTTTACTAGCTAAAAGGACTAGGTTCAGTCCAGAGTAATAAATGGTTTTATTGCTTGGCTACTATTAAAAAATTATGTTGATAAAGAAATGGAGGGAAGAGAGAGTAAATTTCTTCTAGCTAGTACCCTTCTGTTTTATGTACACATGGGCTTTAAAAGCTCTCACTTCTTAATGCTTTTCAAAGCCTACAGATACCCCAAGGCAGAGATATCTTAGTCCTTCTGCCCTGGTTTCATCAACTGCAAACACAGCTGGGATCACACAATCACACAGCACTGCTGGGAGGAAATCCACAAAGTGCTGCCATTGGTTTCTTTCTCTAATCCATTGCTGTGGTTCACCGGCAGCAGTTAATGAAAAATAATGAAATCATTCGGGGAGATTAAAGGACATTTATAGAAAAGTTCATTTTAAAAAGGTATTGAAAAGAACAATAATTAGCCAAAATAGGAGAAAACTAGAAAGGACCATAACAAGCTCCAGAGGTTAGTCACTAAAAATTATCAATGTGCTGAGCCACTGCAGGTCAGCTCTGCAACTAATTTTGTTCTCCAGGTATCAAACTGAACATGGGGACCATGTTGTGTCATTCCTGGGCTCTGAGCTCATCTAGGACAAGCACAAATCCCAGACTCTGAAAGCCAAGACCCTTTTCTGATTTTACTAGGAGGGCAGCAGTCTAGCACCAATTAATTCTTTATTATATGAAGCCCGTCACTGTTAGCCTTAACTAGAGGTGAAATCCAAGAAGCTGGTATTGCTTATTTCAGTAGAAAAGCAGTGTCGTTTACTTTTAAAAGACAACTCCTGATGTCTACAAATTGAAGGAGAGAACATGGAAAGGGGATGAGAACTTTACACGTTACTCTTTACTGACCCCTCTTGGCTGCCCTAGGGAAGAGAAAAGCCTGAACCCGGGAAGGTGGGAAGGTCTGAAATCTCACCTCTGCCCTCCGGAGAGCCCAGAGAACTTTCGCTTTCCATGCCATGGAAAGAAATCCTCTCACTTCAGATGACCCCTAGTAGAACTCAACCCTAAAGCACACGCTGCAATAATTTCTATTTATGGGGCTCCCAGAATGGAAATTGGGAAACGGCCTCGTGGATCCGCTCCAAAGGCCTTGCTAGGTCCCTTGCAGCCCTGTGACCCTCTAACTCCAGGCTGGAAAAGCTTACATAAGTGCTACCGGGACCATTTCTGACAGCAGGAAAAGACCTTACCTCTTTCTCTATTTTGAGTAGCTTCTTCACAGCCACCTCCTTGTCCTGTGATATCCATCTGGCTCGATAAACACTCCCGAAACTTCCTCCACCGCAGTTTTCAAAAAACTGCAAGTCATCAAATTTGATTTGCACAAAGGAGGCGCCGAGAGACGACATCTCATAATGACAAAGTATTATACTTCCACAAAATCTGCAGAAAGAAAGACAAAGAACAGTTGAATTACAAATATGTCAGGATGAATCCTTTAAGTCCTACTTAAGGTAACGTAAAGGCGACAGAGTCCTACGAAACTTCCAGAAAGGATCATGATGACTTAGGAGGAAGAAAAGCAAGACTATAAACGAATCAAAATGAAAACACTCACCCTGGCAGCCCATGCAAAATTCAAGGGCAACTTGTCCAGACTTTGAAATACAGCTGTCCACAGAGAAATGGCTCAGATTTCCCCCCGACAAAACCTGTAGCAGCACTTCCTTCACATCCCGAGGAGCTCTGCCTAAAGGCTACTGTGTCACCAGGTCTCCTATCAGGAAGCCCTGACAAGCGGGAAGCATGCTTTCCACAGCAAGCTTGCATAGCTCCTCTGGCATCCGAGGCATGCCATCTCTGCACGCCGCGCTCACTTCACACAAAATATACACAGCCTCAGCTGCGGAGCGTTCTGGCACAAGGACGGCCGGAAGGCTGAACACACATTCAGTGTTTAGACTCCTGAGGCAAACTTTCAGCTTAGGGATGATAAAAAAAAAAGCTGGTCAAGTGTTTTCTAAGAGTGGCTCCCTGGATTATGTACTGTAACAGAACTTAATTAGAGAGTAGAAAATGTACCCTTGATTATAACATATTAAGTCATACAAAGAACACTGCTAAGGATGTTAAAAATATATATTATACTTGTTTTCAGAGGAACAGATTTCCTCTCCCAGATATTATTACAGTGATGTTTTTTGTGATCTTAAAGAGTTTTATTACTCTCCAAGGAAGTGGTCATTATTAATACCCTATACCAAACCACAGAATAGCATAAAAAAAAATCATACAAACAAGAAAACATTGACTGAAATTTTGAACCTGCATAAAAAAAACTAAAAAATGATGGATAAAAATATTTACATATATATTCTTACTATAGTAAAAGCATAAACTGAAACCTTATAATGAGGAACCAAAAAGACAAATCCATATTTGTAGGACATTCCACAAAACCACTGGTGGCCTGGGCTCTTCATTATGGTCAATGTCATCACAGATTAAAAAAAAAAAAAAAGCAGGGAAACTTCTAGCATAAAGAAAACTTGAAACATGATGACTAAATGCCATATAGGAGCACTGACTGGATTCTGGATCAAAAAATCTACAGAAAATATTTTTGGGATTTTAGGGAAATCCAAATCCTAACTATACATTAAATAATATTTCATGGCAAATAATGGTACTTTGGTTTTGTAGGAAGATGTCCTCATTCTTGGGAAATATATTTATTAATAGACATTTAAAGTATGATCTCTACAACTTACTTTAAAATGGTCCAGCCCTGGCCCCTGCCTGCCCCTAAACCAAAATAAGTGCGTGTGTGTGTGTGTGAGTGTGTGTGTGAGTGTGTGTGTGTGTGTGTGTGTGTGTGGAGAGGAGGAGAGAGAGAGACAGGGCATGCAAGTGTGGCAAAATGTTAACTGACACATCATCTAGGTGAAAGATACATGGGCATTTTTCTACTCTTTCCATTTTTCTCTGAGGTTTTTTTTTTTCCCTCCAAATAAAAAAGGTAGAGGGGGACAATTTGTATCTATATAAATTGGCAAAATTTCTCCATAAACAACTTGAGGCTTTGCTGAGTGATGTATACAGTCAGCTCAGAGATCTTAACGTGCAGCTGACCAGCCATCCCATTTTAGGAAAATCGGGTCACTGAAGAATGCTGATTTCTTCCATGAAGTCAAACTCTGCTGCACTTTTAAGAGAAGGCAAGAAAGGGAAGGGTTGTTTATCCTCTAAAGTTTATAAGACAGTTTAGAGTCTACATAAAAATATGGGGTGGGGGGAACCATAGTATCCAAACACAGTCTACAAAAATATTAGAATCAAAAATTTACATTACCAACTTTTTTGCTATAATTCATATTAAGTTAAATATAGAAAAGAAGAAAAGTTTGGATAAAATTTAGGATAGTGCCAAAGGTAGGTACATTGAGTAGAAAAGCTAAAAAGTTTGTTCAACGAAATGTAAAACATCATTGACAAGATTCTCCCAGAATTATAGATGCTAGCAACATATTTTTATTAATTATTTTTATCAGAGCATAAAAAATGAAATAGAACTACAAAAATTATAAATAAAAAACAGAAGTCCCTGCCCTAGTATTCCCCACACCCAGTTCTCACTCTCCAGAGACAACTAATTTCAACTCCTTTAGCATTTTCTTCTGATATTTAACTCCATATTTCTAAATATTGTGTTTATATTGCTACTTATTAATTTTTCCATTTTAAATATTATCTATTAACTTTGCCTGTGGAAGATAAAGATTTAGTTCTGATATAGGAAACTTTACCTCCATGTGGACAAATATGTCACACATACCCAGTGCTCCCTGCTTCCAACTATATTGCTACATTTGGTTAAGTCAATATTCAGGGCTTACAGTAGTCTGATAAAGTAAGTATTATTCCCAGCAGTGCCAAGTAGGATTCAATAATTATATTTCGTTTCTTGGATAACTTTTTGTTTCTCCTAGAGTTATTAGCTGCCTTGTTTTTGTTTTTTGTCGTTTACTTAGCCTACTATACTCCTAACTCTTACTCACCTCATCAAACTCTCCCAAGAACTGCAAAATTCTCAATAAAGTAAAAACATTAAGTAATTTCTCTTTTTTTCTTGGAAATGGTTCTTCTACACACTTCATCCTGATTCAGTCTGGCTGGAATGCTGCTCTCTAGGCCTGACTGGGACTGGGACTTCCCTTCGCCACCATCCTAAGAATTTCCTTCACCTTTTTCCTCTGTAGAAAACCCTGTCTTTGGATTTTCTGTCTTCACTTTCTTGGTTGATTCCTTCATTTTGACAGCACACATCTCCCATTAGCTACCTGAATATGGCACAAAGAATATAATGTTTTGAGAATCTGTATGTCCAAAAATGTCTTGATTGGTAGTCTGGCTGGGTATGCAATTCTAGGTAGAAAATGATTTTCCACATAATTTTGAAAGTATTATACTTCATTTTCTTCTAGTTTCTAATGTGGCTATCAAGCAGGCTGATGCTACTCTGATTACTAATCCTTTTTATATTATTTTTCCTCTCTGAAAGCCTTTAGGATCCTCTATTCATCCCTGGAATCCTGAGTGTTAATAGGACATGCTTAGAACTAAATCTTTTTCATTCAGTGGTAGGACATTCAGCGAACTCTTTCAATCTGTAACTCTTGTCTTTAATCCCAGGAAATTTTCTTATGTTATTCCTCCACCATTTATAGCCTCTTTTACTTCATGTCTTATCATTTCCCATACATGCATGAGGACCTCTCACGTCCCCATACCTTTGCACAATCTAATGTCTCTGCTTTGAATGCCTTTCTCCACCAGCAAACTCCTGTCCCTGGCCACCTCTATGAGCAGAGTTAAGTTCTCCCTCTTCGGTGTTGTATCACCTCTCTTTACCCATTCATCTTTCCCACTAGACAATAAAGTCCCTAAAGGCAAAACTCATTTCTATTTACATCTGGATCCTGGGCACCTAGCACGCAGCCAAGCACAGAATATGCAGCTTCTCCACTAAAAAATCTTTGTTGAATGAATGAATCATTTCTGGTTATTCTTCCAACTATACCTTTTGCAGCTGGAAATATTTCAACCAAATTATGTAAACTCTGAGACCTGTGGTTTTTACAAGTGCCCCCAGAGGATTCTCAAGCAAATCCTGATTTGGAAACTGTACCCTAGGCTTCTTGGGAGACTGAGAGTATGCCTGGGACCTCCAGTGTTGGGTCTCTGAGTCCAGAGTGGGGAAGGGAAGAGGAGTAGAGAAATTCTTTCCAAAACAGAGATCTGACTAGAATGAGATCAACACGAGTCGATCTAAACCCTATGTTGCAGAGCAAGCCCAGAGAATATGGATGAACTGAGGCAGGATCAGTCACATCTAACAGTGACCTAAAGGGTGGTAGAAGACGACTGACCGCTGAAAAGGAAAGTCACCCCTTGACATGAGGGGAAGAACATGAGGCGATTAGCCATGTTCTTCCTAGCATCACTGTTACTTCCTTTGTGATACACCCTGCCATTTGGGAACTGGCTATATGTGAGTGAAACTATGCAATTACTTGAATGTTTTATTGAAACCATAAAAAATTAAGTCTCATCTGATTACAGAAGAAACTATTAATAATAATCTAGGGTGTAGGTTTAACTCCAATGAGCTTGGCAAACCACCATGGACTTAGTTGAAAAACCGGTAGAGATTCCCATTCTCATATATATGAATGTCAGACCACTTAGAGATATTTTTCCCCTTGAATTTTCTCTCCTTTAATTTAAAAACCATTATTCTAAGAGGATGATTTATGACCAGAAGAATGAAAAATCTGAGTTGCCGGTTAATCATACTTAGGGCACATTGGGGAAGACTGCTATGTGATCAAATCTAATTTTTCAAATGTATACTGCAGTAAATACACCAGAATTGAATAAGAGTCACCTATATAAATTTACTTACTATATCAAATCAAATATGTTGTTTTCATCTCACCACGTTAAAAGAATTGCTTTTACACAAAAAAGTAATTTTACTCCACGCAACAATTCTCAGTCCTAATTTTGTAGCATTCTAATTTTTGTTTCAAAGACTCTCAAAGCTGTTTTAAATATTAATTGTCTGCCACAATGAGGGTAGGTAAGTGAGAGCAGGAATATCACAAAAATCAAAGCATAATAAGGCATCACAATTATGTAAATGTTGAAAATCACTAATTTGGTGGTTGAAGCCAATCATTTGAGTATTGAGTAGCATGCCAAAATTTTTAATTGAAACGTTTCCTTAAATTAAAATTCAAAAAAAAATTAACTACTAACTAAATTGTTGAAAGTACATATTGCACCATTAGTGAATTACCAAAAGTGGTACCATATGAAGGTAGAAGGAGTATTTTTTAGTTTTTAAAGTTCTCTGTCTTCTACTCAAAAAAAAAAAAATGGACTTTATTTCTCTATTCATCGATCTTCTATTTTGCGTCTTGATTTTTCAGATCAGTATTGATCTCAAATAAGTCATTTTCTTTCCCCCCATTACTCTTGCCCCAAATTAAAAACAAAAACAAAAAAGACCCCACTAAACTTCTAACATTAAAAAACAAGGTTTTAAAATTAGACAGATGTGAGTTTGAACTCCGCCTCCACTTCTCAGTAACTTTGAACCAATCACTTTTTCTCAAACTATGGCATTTCCAGACCAATAAATTAAAAATTCCAAATCCTTTCCATTTAATGTCTCAAAATTGATAGCCCAAAAGTTATCAAGTTTGCACAATATTATTTGACTTCACTGATAAGTTTTGCTTCCAAATAACAGATATTTCAACATGATAGCAGCACGGTCCAGGGGAAAGACCCCTA